ATCCCAGACATGAATAACACTGCCTCTTCCCTACACTCCCCAGGCTAGGGGCTACTGTTAATCTCTGGGGTGCTTCTCAGATCTTCTTTCACCTGTGTTAACCTACTCCCAATATTAAATACCTTCTGTTCAGAATGCATTGAGTGGTTTCTGCTTTCTGCCTGGACAGTGACTGATACACCACTCAGGAGCCAGAGGTGCAGGGAAGGGCTGGGTCTTGACCTTCAGGGAAGATCGGGAACTATCACCAGGCCTGTCTGTACCTTCCCTGGGTCAGGAGACTGTCAGCTCTCCCCACATAAAGCTCTTGGAAGTGTCTTCAACCAGACAGCTGAGTAGGTCACACTCCAGGATCATGGCCATGGGAATCTGCTGAGCTGTCCCAGTCTTGGCCAGATGAAACTATTACTGCAGGGCCCAGAGCAGACAAACACAGAGGAAATCTAAAGGCCACTGTGTCAGAGCAGGGCCAGCCTTTGGGCAAGGGCCAGACCCTATTTCCCTGGGGAAGGGAGAGAGGGGACACAATTTTCCAGTCATGGTGCCTCAGCAGCATATGTATCTCGCCCTGACTCAGGAGGGGCAGTGAGGTGCCATGTCAGGGAGATGGGAAGTGAGGTGAGGCTTCTGGCCAGGGAAGAGTCTGATAATCTTGATTCTGGAGTCTCAGGGCTGCTGGGCATATCAGCAGAGCCTCTGGTGTGGGAATAGACCAGCACATTAATAGCAATAATGGCAGCTTCTATTCACAGAGCTGTTTGAGGGTTACATGAAGGAATTAATCCAGTGCCTAGCACATAGGAAGCTCTCAAGAGCTATGAGCAAATAAAAAAAATTAAAAAACAAACAAACAATGAATCAGCCACTGTGGACCTCATTCTGTAGACATTTCACAGAACAGGCAGTTAGGGCTGAGCCCCAGGCCTTTCCCTAGGGACACAGATCCCGTTGCCAGGTCTAGAAGAGAGTTGAGTCAGGAGAAAGAGTGGCGAGGTTGGCGGGGCACAGTGAACGCGAGCACACTTCCCAGGGATGCAGGGGGAGGCAGCAGGTGTCCAGCAGGCAATCAAAGCCCTAGTGGAACACTTGGGAACAGGCATCTCCTAGTGTGCAGGCAGGACAGAGGTCAAAGCCAGGTGAGAGAGTGGTGGCAGGGTTCCAATCTTTGGGTTGGGGTTCAAGTGCAAGGCTCTGGAGATTCGGGGATCAGGCCTATTGAAGATTCAGAGATCATGGCAGGAGGTAGAACTGAGAACTGGGCACAAGGCTAGGGGCCAGCTATCTGTACAAGGGACTTCATGTCAGGCCCTGGGGCTGGCATAGAGCTGCTTAAAACCCTCCCACGTGAGGACAGGCTGGTCCTAGGGAGCAAGATGGGGCTGGACCTGAGAGAGGGGCTTGGCCTGGAAGAGGGGCTGGGGATGAAGAGGTGGTGGTCAGGAGCCCAGACTCCCATGCCTGAGCACAAATCCTGACCAGCTGTGTGACCTCACTGAAACAGGTTATTTCATCTCTCTATAACCTCACTTTTCTCTTTGTGGGTTAACCAGGAAATAGTCCTACCTCAAAAGGTTGTTGGGATGTCAATGTGAGAAAAAGCAGGGAAGCATTCAGCACTCTACCTGATGTGTACAAGTGCTTAATAAATCACGGGCCCTCAGT